TATTAAATTATATTTAATTAATAAATTTATAATCTTGTTATTATATAATTTACTTATTATATACTTGTTAAATACTTTATTAATACTGATTAAAAATATAAAAGATCAGAATATTAAATTATATTTTATTAACAAATTTATAATCTTATTATTATTCTATTATTACTTATTTTATAAAGTTCTATTTATATTTTTTCTTTTAAATATATTTAATATTTTAACTTTTTTAAATAAATATAATTATTATTATTATTATTCTTATACTTTCTTATTCTAATTAAATATTATATTTAATTCATTTTCTATTTATTCAATTAGAGATAATAATATTATTTCTGAAATTATCTATTATATTAATTATAATTATATAAGAAATATAAAGAAATAAATTTTTTAAATATGTTAATATTTTTCTCTCTTATTATAAAATAAGATTTAAGTATATTTCAGAAATTTTGAATTATACTCTAATACTATTATCATTAATTTAAAGATTTTTTGCATTGTTAATTTTGAAAAATCTAAATTATAAAAATTTATAAAGTATTTTTTTATATAAATTTAGAGACATTAAATAAAAAATTATATATTAATACTATTAATATTTATTATGAAATGGATTATTTATGAAATTATAAAAGATCAATTATTAATTAAATGAGTCTTATCAAAGATAATTTTCAATTGGTAACATAAATGTGGATAATCCCGTGACAGTGAAAAATTCGTCGATACCACTGGCTAGTTAGTGTTTAACAGAGTTCGAATAAACTAATTATGCTTACACGTCTTGTTCGCGATCATAACCAAAAGCAACAAAATATTCGGCGTAACAATGGTTTGAGAAACATTATATATACTTGGTTTTACATTACCAAAATAATCAAATTGAAAAAACGATCGATATTTTCATTGTATATCCGAAACAAATTAATTAAAGAGCAATTACGCAAAGAAGTTATCCAGTCCGTATCTGAAGTATCAGATGCGTTAAGTGAATCTTTGAATGAAAGGTAAATGAAAAAGATTTTAATAATGTAAATCAATTACATTCAAAAAAATGAACCATCAAACAATCCAAAAGAGTTGCATCAGTATTCAAAACACAACGAGAGATAGAGTCAGAAATACGTAAATTGTCCGTACAGACGAGCAAACACACAAAACAGGCGAAACAATGGATAACTTTGATGGATGGACTGAGTGCTGCATTGAAGGTAAGTTGATCTGGTCTGAATTGTATCTTTGATTTTTTTGAATGATATTTTAATGTAAACTCATTATTGTTGATCATTTTTTTAATTAAAGGAAATAGGTGATGTACAAAATTGGGCGGAGGTAATTGAACAAGATATGCGTGACATTGCGATGACATTAGAATATGTGCATAGAGGTACGATAATCAAAAAAAAAAAAATGAATTTTATAGTTAAATTTTTTGGGAAAATACTTAGATAATCTACTTTCGAAATAAATAAAGGTACAATGGATGGAGAATCAGTTGATGTCACTGACACTAATACGCATACATTGACGTCCGCGTCTACATCTATTCCTCTTCCTCCTTCATCACATACCACATCACCTGGATCTTTAAATGAAACCAGTAGTACTGCCACTTCTACCGTTGATCAAAACATTATCGAAAAAAAATCTTTATAGAAAACAATCAAGTATGTTTACTCTGTGTGCGAATGAGTCGATATGGTGGTGCGTGTATGCGCGTAGTAATGTAAAGTATGCATTGTATTTATATAGCTTTATGTATTTATTATGTAAATAACAAAATAATATTCTCCTAAATTTTTACTTGGGAGATTTTACTCTGATTAGTATCACAAATAAAGATAAGATGGCAACAATTACCGCGACGAAAATATTGCCACGCATATTCTATTTCCCATTTATTATCTATTAAATTGATGGATGTTAAGAAAATTTCAATTTTGAGAAAAAAATTTAAATATGGAGTAAATAATGTTAAAAAGAATAAAAATATTTGATCGACTACATTATCATTATTAAGTAATATAAAATCATGTGTGTGAGAAGAAGGAAAATATTGTATGCTAATACAAAATTTGTGAATTTAATTCCCATATTCACCAACGGATCACGATTAATGAAATTCCAAAACCGATAAATTGATGTTTGTAAGCGATTATTTGTTGAATACGCTCTTTATCGTCTTCCAAATACTTTTCCTTTTTTCTTTCTTTGGAGATTTCTTGCCTTCTTCCGAAGCTTCTTTAGCCTCAGTATCAATTTCACGTGAGACACCGGCATTACTGGTTTCTGTAGTTGTTGGTTCTGCTACGGTGGTGTTTGTTGCCTCAGCAGTGTTGGTAACAGGAGCAGCATCTTCAGTTGTGGTTTTCGGTGTATCTGGAAGAGCTTTTTCTTCCTTGTCTACGTTGACAGTTGTTGGAGCAGCTGCGGTGGTAGCAGTGACAACTGGTTCCTGCTCAGCAGGCGGTGGAGATGCAGGCTCGGCTTGAGCAACAGGTTCCTTCTTTTCCTCTTTAACAACACCTTCAGTCGTCGGTGTAGATGTTTCAGCAACTGCCGGTGGTGCGGTCGAAGTTTGATTGTTTTCACTTGTTGACAAAGTTTGTTTGTCTTCACTTGTTGAAACAGTTTCTTCTTGTTTCTTTGACTCATTTGCATCCTCAGTTTCCTTCTTTTCTTCTTTCTCTTCTCCTTGTTTTTCGTCTTTTTTCTCCTCTTCTTTTTTCTCTTTTTCGACTGCATTTTCCTTCGTCTCTTCTACTGGAGCTGTCTCTTTGACAGTCTCTTGAGAGGCTACCGTCGTCGTCGGTTCTGACTCGTGTGTTGTGGTTGCCGTTTCTTCTTTTACAGTTTCATTTGTCCCCGGCTCTTTGACAACAGTTTCAGGAGAAGCGGTAGTAGCTTCCTGCGGATGCTGAAACTTGTCATAAAAGGAGGCAGTAGAAGTGGAAGTAGTTGTAGTAGTTGTGGTGGTGGTTGATTCTGTAAAAGTCTGTTCTTGTGGACTCGAAGCTGTTATTGTTTCGAAGGTTGCTACGGTGGTTCCTGCTGTGCTAAAATCAGCCATGATGGCAAAAAAGTAAAGAAAATGTTATAAAGTGAGATGAATGTGGAGAAACGAACAAGAAAAGAACAACGTGTTTTTTTTGTGTGTGTGTGTGTGTGAGCGTGTGTGTTGTTGGGTATGAATTCGAATGGTACTTGTGACCAAGGTTATATTTATTTACACTAGGCTGAATTGAGGAAAGAGAAGAGTTCGTGCTACCAATGACTTAGAAACGCCAATGAATATTATTTATTATTATATACATTACCGTGAGGGTATCACAGAAATCACTAAAATCACCTCGATAACATTTTTTCTATATTTGTTCTTTTTTATTTGACAAGTTTGTTTTAATATGTTATGGATTTTACAATACACCTTCCTAACCAAGTCGACAGTTCTATCACACTTTATGATGGGTTTTCTTGTAATAATAATGTTAATACTACTACAACCACAACCACCACCACCACCACGACTACAAACACGGATACAACAACAACACACCATACCACACTTCCATTACCTCACACTGGTCGCAAACGAAACCGAAGCAATAGTTTAAGCATAAATAACGATAATAATCCTCAGGTAGACGTTGTCCATTTGCGATTTCTACATTTATGAGACATCAATAACCGGAAAGCATTGTTGGGTAGAGAGTAATATCTGAAAGAAGTAACCACACGAAGAAAGATCGATTTAGATTACGCGCGTTTAAACTTTATATTTATTTGAATATAACTTTCAATTTCGTTCTCTTTTTCTTGTTCTTCTAGAAAACTTTACGACTATTAAGTCCCCCACGACATATCCGACCATATCAAAACTTTAGTTGTCCCATTACTGCTAATGCCAGTACGCATTCGACTCCTCCTCCTCCTCTTGACATCAATGATAATTGCATTGCGCGACAAAGTGTACTTAATAATGACTTGAAATTATCAAAGACACCTTGTTTTCAAATGCTGGACTTTCGAGAGTCTGAATTAATGGATTGTGATGTTGATGAACTGCCGTGTCATTTAGAAGAAGATAGTTTAGAAATGGTATTATATGTGTGTCTGTCTGGTCGGGATATTAATTCTTTTTATATATATATATGTGTATATTATCATCTCATGTCTCATTCTTATTCTTCTTTGCAGATTCAACAACAACCACAGCAGCAGCAGCAGCAGCAGCAACAGCAACAAACGCGAAAGGAACGCATCACACATTTACCTTATACGATGGGTTATCGCGCTGATTGCGAAAAATGTCGTCATCATGTTCCTGGTCATTATGCTCACTTAATAGTGAAACAACCATAATTCTTAAAGCCATAAATAAAGTAACCAATCCACAATATGTCGCATATTTTTATTACAATCGCTATTGATGATGATGTTGTTGTTGATTTTTTTTTTTACTTCACTTTTCTGAATTCTCGACATCAATTTTCTTTAAACAGTAAGTGAAATATTCATTTCTATTTTAAATCACTTAATCACACAATCTAAATGATTATTTTCTTTTCTATTTAAAGAATTTTATGATTAGGCGAAAAAATATGGATTGTTGAACAAAGACGTAACGATGATGATTTCATTGTACTGAGCTAATGTAATAAATAATAAATTCATAGAGAATAAAAAGTCTTAAATTATCGGAGACTGAAAGGCTCAGACTCATTCAAATTAGAACGCGTAAAGTTTTACTAAGAATTTAGGAAATATTTCTGCTAATCACCATTATGCAAAAAGGGTGAGATAATGACCAATTATTCATTCGCGTGGTGTGTTCCTGCACGCCAGTTTTGCGCATTTAAACGATAATGATAATCTCAAGAGAAAAAAAAAACTAGTATTGAATTTGGCGCCGAGCAAGTTTGAAAAATCACGTTAAACGTTTGATCTGTTTGTATTACGTGATATAAAAAATTTCTTTCCCTTCACTCAAATTCGATAATGCTTAAAACAATGTGAGTATTCTTTTACGATGAATTCTCAAGAATGGTTTTTTTTTAATATTCCCATCAAACTATAAAATACGATAGAAAACCCAAGACCGCGCGGTCAGCGCGTGCATTAAGAAAACGTGAACCAAAAATTCAAGAAAATCCAAAAACTGCAATTTTCCTACGTGGTCACAAAACAAACAACATAATAAATACCGCACTCTCAGATCTGGTACCACTGACCTCCTTCGTTTCATCTAATTAATTAATTTATCAATTTTAAATTCATCCTAATTAGAATTCTTTCATACATTTCGTAAAATTAGTGCGCCTTAAAAAAACCAGATGCAATAACATTTTCAAAAAAGAATGAAATCTTGCCATTTGAGGATGACACCTCGCTCGAATTTTTTTCACAGAAAAATGACGCGTCACTCTTTGTAATTGGTAATCACACGAAAAAACGGCCACAAAACTTAATTTTTGCGAGAATGTTTGACGGGCAAGTGTTGGATATGATTGAGGTTGGCGTTGTAAATGCTAAATCAATTGCTGATTTTAAGGTGGATAATTATTGATTTCTATATATTGTGGCTGTAGATTTATGTATCACTAAAATTAATTTGTGGTTAGACACCAAAATGCGCTGTTGGAATGAAACCATGCTTTTTATTTAATGGCGATTTGTTTGAGACTTCAGAGATACACAAGAAATTTAAAAATATGTTGTTAGATTTGTTTCGAGGTCAAACTGTCAAATCCATAAATCTTTCCGGTATTGAACATGTGATTTCAGTCACAGCAAGTCCACCACAAAAAGATGACGGCGATCCAAGTACTGGTATTGTCTATTTCCGAACATACACTGTACAAATGAAAAAATCCGGGCAACGGATTCCACGGGTGGAACTTGAAGAAATGGGGCCAAGTTTTGATTTCCAATTTAGACGTACGAAATTCGCTAAAGAGGATGTATACATGGCTGCTACACGAGTTCCAAAAGAATTGAAGGTATTAAAAATAGTTTTTCTGTCGAGGTTCTTTTACCTATATAAATAATTTTACTAAGCTTTGTATTCAACACAGCCAAAGAAGATTAAAAATATTGATGTGAACGAAATTGGTGATCGAGTGGGAAGAATTCATCTTGGCAAGCAAGATCTGAGTCAGTTGCAAACACGAAAAATGAAGGGATTAAAAAAGAGAGCTATCGAAGAAATTGATGCTATGGATATCGAGGAGATCAACAAAGAGGACGATGAAGAGGAGATATCTCCAAATAAAAGGCAAAAAGTATAAAATATTCGAATACAAGTCAAGAACGTAATTTATAGCGCATTTATATTTTTGACAAAACATGTATTCAATGCAACAAAACCAAAGGAAATATTGATGTAATTTCAGGATCTAAAATTGCAAAAAATATGACCTACATTTTTTTATTTCTTTCCAAATTCTTATTTATCAATAAGAACATAAAGTGCACATTGGGATCTTGTTAAAAATGAAATTTTTTTTAGAATAATGATAATTTGTGAAATATAAAATGCAGAGATAATATTTATAGTTGAAGGAAGCTATAAATAATTCTTTTATATTACATATTAATTTTATTAAATTTTGATATATGGTGATTTTCAAGAATTGATATGATTTAATCATTAGATATTAAAGATATCACACTGTGTTATAATATTTTCCCTTCACATTATAATATTCTAATCTAATAAAATATATTAATACTAATTAAATTATAAAGTTACAAACCTATATAAGATGTTCTATAATATATAAATTAAAATTTTAATTAAAATTAAAACTTTATATTGAAAATTAATTTTGAATTTCTTAATAAAATTATAATTTTAGTTTATTTTTAATATTAATTTTGAAGTAATTATATAATATATATTATTATTTTTTATATTAATTAGTATTATATTAAAATTTACTAAATTAGATATTTTTTATTAATCTCTTTTTATAAAATTTTTTATATAAAAAAGATCATATTACTTTAAAATAAAGAATAAAATTCTTATTATTTTCAAAAAAAATTATAATACTAGAAAAATAATAAGATAATAAAATATTAATACTTTCATTATTATTTATCTTAAATTAAAAATATAAATATTTTCATATTTATTATTTATTATATACTTAATAAAATATTAAAAGTTATATCTGAAAAAAAAATACAGACTTGATTTTACAAAAAAGTATAAAAATTAAATCAAAAAAAAATTTGATTAGATAAGTTTAAGTTAATATTTTTGAAATAGATAAATATAAATATTATTAAAAAAAAGAAAATTATTAAAAAGTTTATATATTAAAATTTATTAATATTTTTCATAATAATTTCAATTATATATTAAATAATATTAATTTTTAATAAAATAATAGATTATTTTAATTATCTTTAAAATTAATTTCAGAAAAAAAATTCAGAATATATAAAATAATATTAAAATTAAGATATATATTTATTTTATTAAATTAATATCAAAAAAATATTAAATATAATAAATATTTATAATAATTATATTAAATCAAATATAATTAGTTTTTTAAAAAAATTAATAATTTATTTTATTATTATAAAATATTATACAAACTATTTCTTTTTATATCATATTTCTTATGATTCAGATCTGATCTTGAATATAAATAATGAGTTTTAAAAATTATAATAAATTTAAATATAATTATATATTATATAATAATCTATAAAAATAATATATTACTTATATTACTAATTATTAATTATCTGATTTTTACTTACATATAATTTAATAATATAAAAAAGATTTATAATTAATATTTAATATAGTTTTTTTAAATTAATATAAAAAAAATATATTAATTTTTTTGTAATATTTCTTAATTCTTTAAAATACTAATGTATTTTTTTGTTATTTTTTGATAAATAAAAAGAAAAACTTTGTTTTTTAATATAAAATAAAAAAATTATGATAATAAAGTTTTTTAAAACTTACTTTATTTAATTTATATATATTTTTTAAACTTCTTTATATTAAAAAAATACATTCAAGTAATTGTATTATTTGATAAAGAT